CTACCGGGTGCAGGGGAAATAATTAATTGGTGCCACAAAGTCTGCACTTGGTACAATCAATGAATCGTTGAAATTTACCCTGTTGTGCAATCCTTGAGTTTCTTGAGCTTATTTTGCATGCTTGTTGTAATTTCACCATTTACTCACATGGAGGTGTAGTGGAGCTTCCTATGAACTTCCTTTCATTTAATAATACTGCATGTAATGCAGTGCAGTATCACATTGTGAAGCGCTTCACAAGGTTAACTGTAAAGTGCAGTGACTGTGTATTGTGATGGCGAATGCTGTCACCAATTTGTGCATAGCCACATCCCACAAACAGCCATGAAGTGAATCAATGATTTTATTAGGAGGATTCTTGGTAAGGACATCGGAAGAAGCTCCCTTTCCTTTTTGAATAGTGCCATGGGATCTTTAATGTTCACCTGAATAGGAAGACAGGATCTTGGTTAATATCTCATCTAAAGCACTTTTATGAATGGATTAATCTTAAAATATCTCCATTTGAAATGTATTCATGAAAGTGACTAAACCATTCGTTGCTAAAAGGTTTCTATGTTGAAGCAATTAACTTCCTTTTATTACAAATGAAATTAACTATTGTTAGACTATTTTATATTATCATTATTATCGTCTTAACTGCATATATAATCTTTTGACTAGATTTAATTAATTAATTAAAATACTAACACATATTAATGATTACATAATAATTAAATATAATTCAACACAAATGTTGTAGTTGGTTTTGTTAATTTTCTTGTTTAGATAAGAGTTGTAGAAGGTTTTGTAGACCTTCCTGTGCAAAAATTGGCTGCCCTGTTTGCCTACAAATACATAGTCACTACTCTTCACAGTAGAATCCTGTGAATGCCTTTGAGACGTTTTAACGACATGCTAAGGCATTGTAACAAATGTAAGGATTATTATATATGGAATCGTCTTTCACACTTCTTGAATTGCTTAACAAACATGACGGAGAACTCAGAAAAAGGAGAAGGAAAGATGATCAAGGGTTTTGTTGTAAAGTATATCAAAAGGGTTTGCCTGTCAAAAAGGAGGGTTTTGAAGATGGAAAGAGAGGAAACAGACCAAATAGACTTCTAGAGGGCAAAGTATAGCGGCTGATGTCTTGGCTGCCAAGGGTGAGACAGTGGGAATGAAGAATAAACAAAGGACCAAAATTGGAGTGCAAACCTATGGAGTGCTGGCCTATATTACCAAATCAGTTGAGTTCGTGTCCTCAGGAGTCCCGCACATACCTGGAGTATTGTCCTCAGCAGTACTCCAGGTGTATCCTGGCCTGGCCTATCAACTCACAACTGGAGTCCAGTTGACAGATTTTGTCACTAAGGGGATTGCCCAGGCTCAACAGACAGTACAGGGGAGAATAACAAGGATAATCCCCAGTGTTAGAGAGTTGAGCTAAGAGCAATGATTTCCAGGAATCACAAGTCTTTAAAAAATCTCTAATTACTGTCTTACCATAAATTCTGTGAAGCGTTTTGATAAAGCGCTTTGATAAAGTGCTATACCAAATGCAAGGATTACTGTTATTATAAAATATCTAGCAGGAGATCAACCTTAATTATGAATTATGGGATGAATGAAGTATGCTGATGTAGGGGAAATATTTTTCTGGGATATTAAAGGCAATAATGAGGAGAAGGGAATAGAAGGATATGGGAGGGAGAAAGTCGTGAGTGGAGGCTTGTGAAATATAAACACTGGCATGGGCTGAATGTCCTGTTTCCGTGCTGTGCAATCTAAATCTATCCTGCATATATTATACGAGTCCTGTAGGATAGTGGTTAGAGCATTCACCTTGCAAGCGATAGGACCTGGGTTTGACTCCTGGCAGGGCAAGTTTCCTTACTCCACACATCTCTGATCACCTATGAGTAAATAGGAAACCAGTTGTTAGTCGATTGGCAGATCGCTTTTCCGGGGTAATAGTCCCTTCAAAAAAATGATTAATAATAATAATTTGGTCACTGAATCCATGACTGTTTGTGGAACACTGCTGTGTGCAATTGGTTGCCACGTTTCGCTCACAAAATATACAGTCAATTCACTTTACAGTATATTGTGAAGCGCTTTGAGACGTCTCGAAGACATGATAAGGCATTATATCAAATGCAAGTATTATTATTATTACTATTATTAATTCTTTTTAGTTTGTTGCATTAATTGCAATTGAATTGAAGTGGTTATGATTCATTTCTCAGTTATCAGTTCTGTTTTTCTATCTATAGAACATTTACAGCATAATAACATAATCATATTATTAAGCATGTGTTTATTACAGATATGTTTTAGACTAGAATAAGTTCAGGGACAAAGTCTGCAGACTCATGTTAGTACACAAAGTCCACTGAAGAACTTCCAGCTCCTCACTATTCTTCATACTCCATGAAGAGTATCTTCCAGTGTCATTTCATTGGCTGTTTGTGGTACATTGCTATGCGCAAATTGGCTGCCGCATTCATCTACAAAATATACAGTCACTACATTTTCTAGTAAATCCTAAGGAGTGCTTTGAGACATTTTGATGATATGATAATGTATTACATTAAATGTAAGCATTACTCATTTTTTATTATTATTTTAGAAGACCCTTTGTTGTTCAACCTTCCAGTTTAGATTCCAGCTTTTGCGATATTGTTCACCTACAAAGTACAGTCAATTCTGTAAGTGTTTTGATGGTTATGTAAAAGATGCAGTATCAAATGAATTATTATAATCTCATGATTTGAGCTTTACAAAAGAGCTTTTTAGAGATTTACCAAGGTCTGCCTACCCTGCGCTATCTACTTTACTAAAGAACAAATCTGCAGAACAATGGTATAAAAACTGAACGTAGTTAGTGTTAGATAAGAATCAAGCTCATTATAGACCAAACTGAGCAAAACATGCTTTTTTTTGGCTGATCCCATCAAGCCTATGTGTATTTCTGCTTGGATTCACATTCATGCCTATCAAGTATTACACGATCTCCCAACCAACCAGTAACAATACACAGTTCACAGGACTATTGTGAATACCAGTATAGACCTGATCTTGAGTTCTAAATGCTTAAACTGTGTCCAAGTTTTGTATTAAGTTTTTATGGTATCTGTGTTTGATATGTATTGGTGGATATTATATTGCAGACTGAACATAATGGTACGTTTAGGTACCAGGCTCTTCCTAGTTATAAATTAACTAGGTTATGTTATGAACAACCATAAAATGAGGCGCAAACCTGCGGCACGATGTTTAATGGCTTTGGCACAGTAATTGTTCAGTTGGTAACACCCTGAGTCAGTGCTGTGTAGTTGCAAACTGCACATCGGGACTTGAAGCACATACTCCAGGCTGACACTACAGCCCAGTGTTGGGGGACTGCTGCACTGTCACAGATGCTGTTTTTTTTTGGATGAGATTTAAAACCAAAGCCCCATCTGCCTGCTCTTCAGGTTCAAGATCTCACCGAACAAGTTAAGTCAAGAAGAACGTTCCTCCCAGTATCCTGGCCAACACCCTCCTGATTATAATCAAGTGTGAAACTTTTAGGTGTTTAAACTGGTGGCCAAAAGTTAATTTCTGTGAAGTCTAAGAAAATTCAAGATCTTTTTTCTAATATACTAAAGATATTAATGAAACACTCAAATTTGCAATTAATTCTGCTTTACAACTGGAAAAAGTTAACATTGATTTTTATTTTTACAAATGGAGAACTCCATATTTTTGAAAATTATACAAAGATGCAATGAATTCAACACTCAAACTCAATATTTTTAAAAAGTGTAAAATTTGCATTGCAGCACTGATTTTCCTTATAGAAATTGATCGTTTTTTTGATTCAGTCAAATTAATTCGTACAAAAATAATTTCCTGTTTATAAAATAAATCACCACATTAAAATAAATTAATTTCAATCATGACATACATATTTTTATATGTACAAACCAAGAGCGTCATAAAATGAGTTAATCCCATTTCCACAAAGTAAGCGTAAAAGATGCATTTGCAAATTAAGGCAGTTGGTTTACTCAAAAAGTATAGAACAGTTACTAGTTACCCAGTTTTACCTATAGATTAACTCTATAGCGTTAAATATTAAACTTTGAAATTACACTTGAAGCAATCTGATTTTCGATTATAACACATTTTTTAAAACTTGCAGGATAGTGAATGCCCTGGTAAAAACGAGGTGTATCATTTTTTTCAACATGTGGCAGCCAGTGATGGTGCTAATAATGGTAATGATCAGGTAAAGATCTCAGACTGACACTATAACATAATAATAATTATTGTTTTAAATACAAACAGTAAAATGAGATGCCTGGGAATGTACTTATGGTTGCAGAACAATCTTGAAAATTCAAAGTTCGATCTTAAGGTGTCACCCACAAAATATAGTCAATTCACTTTACAGTATATTCTGTGAAGCACTTTGAGACATCTCAATGACGTGTTAAGGCACTATACCAAATGCAACAATTATTATAATTATTATGATTATTATTATTATGAAGTCACTTGCACTCCTCGATTATGTTTGTCAAGTGATACATTCCAAGTTGACTTTCATTCTCCAAACAAAGCCTTTGCCTAGTTACCACCAAGACTTTGCTCACTGTAAAAATGTGAGTGAAGCTGTTATGTCTGGAAGGCAGCTTTATGGTGCATTAACACACAACCAAGTATGAAATGGTTTTCTTTGTTCCTTGTTGCAGATTTAAATATGGCCGTATATGTAGAGAAAACGGATTAAAAAAAACCCGCAGCCAGGTGTAATTTATAAATGTGATCCATATCTATCAGAAACAATGATGATGATTTGCGACTTTGAAGCAAGTTTCGTTTTCTCATTAAGACAACGGCTCCAACCAAATCCATTTAAAATATTAACCTGAGATCAGAACATGCGTTTAGGAGCAAAGGGCCTTCCTGCCTTGAAATGGAATGATTTATCCCTTTGCATCCTCTCCCCAAACCCCCCACCCGTCCCCGCCCCCCCAAAAAATAACAAATAATAATAACAGTATTACCAAAGACAAAAAAATCAACACAGTCATTTATAACCAGTACAGATTGGCAGTTTCAGTTCCAGCTCATGGCTTGATCCCATTTGCCACCTGGCAACATAGTGTGAATTCCCAGTGTTTGTTCACATGTGCAGAATGTAGAATCTGTCACCGCGCAAAACTGAAGTGCTGCATCACAAAGACTTCTGCTTTGGCACTGACGGTTGCTGAGAAATAACAGAGAGCTGGTTCGAAGCAAGTTTGTACTGCTCTTGTCCTGAACCTTGTGGAGGAGAAGGTAGCGGGGTTTCTGGTGTGGCTGTGGAGAGAGCGCATGCAAAAGTCACATCAGTTTCATTTCACAGCACAAAAGGTGATTGTGACCTACTTTTACATAAAATCACATACAATCCGCAAAATGACACAATAGGGAATTCAAGGCAAAAAAAAAACACCTTTGATTCAAGACAGGAAAATATCTAAATTGAATCCCATGATTCGCTTTGATATGATATTTCTGCCTCCTGATATGACAGGAGCTCTCTCCATCAAATGCAAGTGTTATTATTATTGTTATTATTATTATCCAGTGTCAGTAGTTAGAGATACGTGTGTCTGGATGGAGAATTAGAACAGAATTAGGCTCATTTTTAATGCCACTCACTGTCGAGTTAACCCTTACTGTAAAAACTCATTCAAAAACAATGCCCCACTTGGGGTGAGGTACCAGAGGGCGACTATTGACCTTGGTACTGCATTCCCCTCCCCTCCGCCCCGATTAAACAAAAAACAATTAAAAATCCTTTAAGCAGAGGAGGAGGGGAAAACTGACAAAGTGACAAAAATGACATTCAGTATGGGAAAAAAATACTTACACATCTGCTCACTGTGGACAGCTGCAGGCATTGAGGTTATCAGAATAGTTTGTCCTGTTACTGGATCCTGGGCCAGGTGCGGGTGGTTGGGGTGGTGGAGGTGAGATGGATCATTAGATGTACCTATAAAGAGAGAGATTGTCACAAGATACAACATTGACATCATTACTTCCTGAATTTCATTCCCATTTACAGATCTAATCATTGCTCCAACTTCAAAAAACACATTTAACTTTTTATTCCACAGATGAAATCGGTCAAATAAGACCGTATAACATTCATTTGTAGTCTGTCATTTAGTTGCAGATATATATAACTACAATTATATACATATAATTCAAAGGATTTCACAAGATTTACCATAAAGTGAAGTAACTGTAAGCAACATTTTATTGTTGTATATACTGCATTTATTGTGAACTTTATTATAAACAGAATAGTCATTGGTGTGGTGCGCTCAGACATACTGTAGTGTGCTTGGGCTGCAGCTTCGGGGAGGGGGAAGGAAGGGAAATTTGCTTGAGATTCAGACAGAACAAGTGCCTTAGGTACAATGTGTCCAGAATCAGGTCCCTGACACAGATGTAACAACCTCCAAGGGTTCAGCAGTTGTCCAGGGACAACCCCCCCGATCACCCCCCACTTGGCTAGCATCTGACAACAGCACCAACTAATGGTCAAACAAGCACCTCTTCCTGTGCGAACACTGTGAATGGACTGGGTTAGGGGAGGAGCCACTGACTCCCAAGAAGGATTACATTTTTGGCACAAAAGTGAGTCTGAGTAAGGAGCAGCTTGAGAACACGTGTTGGATGCTGGAATTTGTTGGGAGTAAAGCTTTTGTTGGATAAAGTTGATGCCATCCTTCAAATACTTCCACAGTAGCACACCCAGTCGTATTAGAGTAATTTCTGAACTATTCTTATGAACTAGCCAAATGAAACTTCCACTGGAATGTTTCAACTGTGCTCTGGTGAAAGCAACAATGGTGAATTGATGGAGTTCTCACACATTGTTAATGATCACTTATGTTTCACTTCTTGTGGGAGAGTAACAATGGTTGGACAGACCTGGACTGCACAGAACAACATACTCACATGTACAATGTTTACATGTTTACATTCTCCAAGAATAAAGTGAGCAAAAGGCCTGCTTTACATTCATGTGTCATTTTTACAAAATCATGGTAGTACCTGAATTCTATTCTGGGGAGTAAAAGTAAATGTTTGGGGAGAAATTTCACACGAGTCTTGATTTACTCTATTCATGCAGTAATTCAGAGCATCCAAAGTTTGGCAAATTCTTAAGTACAGTCTTAATCACAAAACCAGTTTTCTTTAAGTTTCTTTTAAGAAAATTTGGTGAAGCGCTTTGAGGTGTTTCAATGCTGTGATCAGCTGCTATATAGATGCATGGATTCTTATTATTACTACTTGAAGACATGGCTTCATTGCAATAAATTGCAACATAAATTCACATTATAATAATGATATTAATAATCCATGCATTTGATATATAACGCCCTATCAAGTCTTCGAGACGTCTCAAAGCATTTCACAGGATATACTGTAAAGTGAATTGACTGTATATTTTGTGGACGAAATGCGGCAGCCAATTGCCCACAGCAGTGTTCCACAAACAGTCATGGATTAAGTGACCACATTTTTTTTAAAAGAAAGGATTATTACCCCCGGAAAAGCGATCCTCCAATCGACTGGGTTCCTACTTACTGCTAGGTAAACAGAAGCATGTGGAGTAAGGAAGCTTGCCCAATGTTTCACCCTGCTGGGAATCGAACCCAGGTCTTCTTGTTTGTGAGGCAAGTGCTCTAATCATTAAGCTACAGCTCTCCATATTAGTCTCCTTTGGATATTACGTGCTAACATTTCCTTGTTAAAATGAAATGAAATCAGTCGTACCTCCCAGCAACATTTCTTGGAGCAAGTTGTCAATTTTTGCCAGTCCAAACAGTTTGACAAACTGTATTTGCTCAATCATCTGCCAGGTGATACTTTGAAGAGTTGGCAACAGAAGCAGCAGCTCCCCAAACCGACCCCGGGAATCATACTGCCGGTCATTGATGTAGTCTTCCAGGCTGACCTGCACTTGGTAACGCATATTCTTAATTTTTGCCGGATTGTTTAAAGCTTTAGCATCTGTGTAAAAAAAAATTGGGGGCAGATTAAAACAAGGCCTGCTTTGGATCCCCCACTCTATCCACCCCACATTTCTGGATGGTCCTTCAACTATTCCTTCTCCACTGAACTTTATCCCTCGACTTGCCCCCTACGTCCCCCCTTTCAAAGCTTGCCTCAAGGCTCATCTCTGACCGTGCTTTCAGTCAACATTCTCCTCCTCATCCCTTTCAACTTCCCCAGCTCAGTTGCCCAGCCAGTAATGTGAAGTATAATTATGAATGTTTTGGTATGAACACAAAGGGGTTTGGGGTACTAGCCTGAACTTACACAAGCTGAAAGTTCACCTAGCCCTAGCCTATTTAATGCTCCCTCTCCCTCTCATGCACTTTAGCTCACTCACACACTCCCTCTCTCTATTTTTTGCTTTAAGCAAATTGTCGAAAATTTTCGTTTTCAGCCTTCATTTGAAACCTGATTTTCTTGGTTTTTTTAAAAAAGAACAACACTGTTTCCAAAATAAATACTGAATTGAAGTATTGTCCACAATTCTGTATAGCAAGAAATTTCAAGCCAAAATGGTCCAACAGACTTAATCTCGGGCAAGCATGCTCCTGCTTGGGTGGGCTTACAATGCTAGATTTGCTTTCTGAGGTGTGAAAATGGGTGCGGACCTGGATCAAAGAAAACAATTGCTTTCAAACAGGCGTATTCATTGTCATCAATCAGAATCTCCTGGAAAGGTTGGACCAATTCATCCAATATCCTATTTGCCACACGACTAATCTCCACCTCTGGGGTATTCCGATGTACTACATGGTCACTCCCTGCAATAAACGGAATAAGATTGTCAGTGATTGTATTGTTCTGGAAAAACTATTTCGAATGATTTTTAATTGAGAACCGTTCACTATAACTGTAGAACGTTTGTTTCATGGCATAATTCATAAACACTGATAGATATTTTGGAAAAGTAATGTGAATATAAAGACATATTACCCAGTACTAGAAGATCCTTGTATGGAATAGACCTTTTTGCTACACCGAGCAGCAAGTGTTCCCCAGCATGTGCTCTCAACAGAGCAACCTAATTTCAGAGCAACACAGAAGTGAGGATTAAAATTCACCTACATAAATCACAGTCACTGCACTTCACAATAAATCCTGTGATGCACTTTTAGACATCCTCCTGATGTGAAAAGCACTGCATCAAATGGAGTCCTGTAGCTCAGTGGTTAGAGCACTCGCCTTGCAAGTGAGAGACCTGGGTTCGATTCCCGGCAGGGTAAAACCTTGGGCAAGTTTCCTTGCTCCACATGCCTGATAATAATCCCTCAAGAAAAAAAAAATTATAATTTGGTCACTTCAATCCACGATTGTTTGTGGGACACTGCTGTGCGCAATTGGCTGCCGTGTTTCGCCCACAAATATACAGTCAATTCACTATACAGTATATTCTGTGAGACGCCTAGAAGACATGAAAGCACTATATCAAATGCAAGGATTATTATTATACACACAGATTGTAAACTACCACCCTTCAAGTCGTTGTTGACTTTGAACCAATGTGAATAAAGATCTGGGTGGGAATTGAGTGGGAATTATTACACCATTGATGAATACAGTCAGGATAGTGGATAACCAACAACAACAATAACTTGCATTTATATAGAGCCCTTCATGTGGGGTTGTGTCTCGGAGAGCTTGACCGTGGAAGAGTATGACGCCGAGCCAGGGGGAGAGGGGGAAGCTGACCACAAGCACAATCAAAAAGGAGGTTTTTGAAGGTGGAAAGGGAGGGGGTGAGGCAGAGGGATTGAGGGAGAGAGTTCCAGAGTTTCGGGGCTGAAAGTATGGCCACCGATGGTGAAGCGGAGGGGACGAGGGACAAAGCGGAGGCCAGGAAGCCAAGCAGAGCCAGTGGGTGGTGGAGTAAGGGGTAAGCAGATCAAATAAGTAGGGAGGTGCCAGGGCATGAAGGGATTTGAAAACAAAGTGAGAGGATCTTGATATTGATCTGTTCGGTAATCGGGAGTCAGTGGAGCCTGGCTAGAACTATTGTGATGGGGATAACCAAAAACTGATCATGGGTGTGACACCTCTCAAGATCTCCCGCTCCAAAAAGCATTCAGCTCCATCACTAGGCTTGCCGGCCTGCATATTGTATTTGCACAGGACAGATCTTAACTCTGATTTAAGCTTGTATCCGCAAACTGACATTCGAAGGCTGGCTATCCAAAATGGGCTAGCAAATCCAACATTAGCAGGGTGGAGGGAGAGGGAAGGGCAGACTTTGAGCGCCACTATTCTGAATGAGTCAAGGTACCCGAGTTCAATTCCAGGCAGGGCGAAACCTTGGGTAAGTTTCCTTGCTCCACACGCCTAATAATAATCCCTCCGAAAAAAACCCCAATAATAAATTGGTCATTTTCAATCCATGACTGTTTGTGGGACACTGCTGTGCGCAATTGGCTGCCGAGTTCTCCCACAAATATACAGTCAATTCACTTTACAGTATATTCTGTGAAGCGCTTTGGGACGTCTAGAAGACATGAAAAGCGCTATATCAAATGCAAGGATTATTATTATTATTAGTCCACTCAGTCTTTTGATTATCGACTGGTTGCATTGATTGCACTTAACGTTTGATAATTATCATCAGTGCTAATTATCTTAGTGCAGGTAATCCCATCAATAAAATAGTAACATTAATGCATTTGTTCATTGAACCATGGCTCGAAGCTTCATTTCCAAACCACAGTAAACTCTCTGAGTAAACTCTCATTAAATGTTTTGGTTGCCGGGGGCAAAACATTAACAACAAGAAATTGCATTTATATAGCGTCTTTCACGTTGGGAGGACATTCCAAGGCATTGACAGTCAAGGGTTTGCACCTGAGCTGGAGGTTAGATTTTGGGAAGGGTGGAGGGCCAGTAGGTGGGAGTGGTTAAGAGGCTTGTCCCAAAATGTTGGGTAGCGCCCGAGATGTTATCCTACGTCAAGGATGCTCCATAAATGCCAATCATTCTCCTGAGTGTAGGCAGTGTGCTGTGCAACTCAGAATTCATCAAACATTGCAGCAAATGGCTCTTTCATGAACGTGCCTATATATTTCCAATATTGTGCTTTAACATGAGTTTGGGAGCACTTTCCATAGAATTACTTAGAAACGTTATAGTACACAAACAGACCAACTCGTCCTTGCCAGTGTTTATGATCCACACAAATCCCTACCCCTGCGATACCCTCTCCTCTACCCCTGTATTCTCTTCTCCCTCATGCATGTGGCAAGTTTACTTTTAAATACATTGATGCTTTTTGCTTCAACCACAGCTTCCAGCAGCGAGCCTACAAATCCACAGTCACTATATTTCAGTGGTGGCCAACTGTTTTAGTCGGCCAACCAAATCATTTTTTCTTGATTGAATATTTCTTGATTTATGGCCAAACCATAAATATGACCACTCAGTAGCTATGGAAACAAAACAATGATTTAACACAGACTTACCTAGACTAGTGTGAATATTAGTCAGGCCACTTCTTGCCCCCCCCCGCAGGCCACATTTGGCCCAAGGTTGGCCAACACTGTTATATTTAATAGCAATTACCGTAAAAGAGCTTTGATGTTGCAGCGCTACATCAAATGCAATAAAGATTGTGCCCAACTATATATGTGTGTGACAGACTGCTGTAAATCAAAATCTCATTGATTTTGTTGCGCCACAAACCGACTACAATGCAGATTAAAATCTAACTCCAAACTTGACCTGACGCTAAATAGGCAACATGTGGTTGATCCGCATCTCTTTGCCCCCCCCATGTCTCTCCTCTGCTTGCTCCAATCCATCCAAAACACTCATCTTCTCCACCCATATGGAAAGTGCATGTGGCCTCTAAATCTACTCCACATGATCACCCACCCAATCCTCACCAGGCTGCACTGTTCCCTGTATATCAATGTCAAGGTCTTCACCATCTCCTACAGATCCTTCATGTCCTAGGGTTTCTCTATTTCTCTGATCCACTTCTCTGCTCACCCCCTCCACTGAGGCAACTCGAGCTTGCTCCGTGTTCCCAAATCTCTCAGGTTCACTATCGGTGACTGAGCCCACAGATACATACTATGGCCCTAATCTCTGGAGCTCCTTCCTTTTTGCTGCTCTGTTTCACCCCCTCTCTACCTGCGTCTCACACACCTTAAAACCTACCTCTTTAACTTCATCCATGGCTATCTCTCCCTCCTCTCCCCTTTCCTTGTTCCTTTGCCAAGCCCATCTTTGTAAAATGCTCAGAGTCATTATCCTACGTGAAGGGAGTTATATAAATACAAGTTGGTTTTGTTGTATTTGTACGACCCACTAATAATGTTTGTCATGTTCTGAACTCTGTGGTATAGGGAGCTGAACACAGGCCAGAAACAGGGTTGGACTATATACTTAAACCATTACCATATACAACCACATCAATACATAGATATATGTATATATATGCATGTATTGTACTAAAGTCTACACAGATCCACACATTCACAAAGTATATTCACTTTAACACTAAGTAAATGCAAACCACTAGAAACAAAAATGGTAAATGATACCAGAAAGGGGACATAGGTTACCTGATCGTCCAGTGGCAGTTCACAGAAAGCCGGAATATATTTTGCCCATTCCACTAAAACCAGTAACTGCTCTTTCATAGATTCACACACATTACTGATAGTAGCAATTTTCTTTGTGTTGATATCTGTGCTTGCCCCAGAAGCTGAGAGAGTGATCTGTTGGCAAACAAACATGGAGCCAAATTAAACTGCAGCCCAGGAAATGTTAATTGTTTTCAAAGGCAGTTGCTGTTCCCACAACACGATCCAAAGAAGCATTCATGCAGATAATTAATAAACCAAATAAGATTATTTTTGCTCTACTAGTGACTAATGTGAATGGAAATGTGCAACCCGTTGTTTGCCCTGGTTTTCATCAATGAGAGTTTAAGAGTTTAAAAGATTTCCAACTTGTTTTGTTTTAAAATAAGTTTTTTTTACTAAAAGTTTAAACGAGTCAGAAAATAAGTCAATCAAGAGATGGCATTTACTTGTAAAGGAAACTACAACCACATGAAATGAGTAGGCTTTTGCAATGTCATTTATTTTTGTGAAATGCATCTGAATTTAACTTAAAAAGTAGCTTGTTGCTATGATGGGAAGATGGTAGAAGTGTCTTCTTCCTCCGAACCGATATTGTGATCTAAGCCTTGGCTCACTATTTCTTTTTAAAATTAGCGACAAGTTTATTTTATTGTGTTTGTCCTTGACGCGTTTGCTTGTTAACTGAAGAGAAATTCTCAGTTCCACTTTGTTTATTTTTTTTCTTACATCGGTAAAGCAATCATCACAATCTGATTTCATTCAGAAATATTCAGGGTAAATCTATTGTGCTAATTCAAACTGTTGTTTCCACATTGCTCCCGGCACTGTGGATTCCAACCCATTGGGTAAACAAAGCAATGTAATATCAGTGGCAGCTTGAGTGTACTGTAGACACTTCAATCTAAACACAGTAAAAGGAAGAGAATATTATTATTAATAAAAATAATAATAAAATAATAATCCTTGCATTTGATATAGCGCTTTTCACGTCTTCTAGACGTCCCAAAGCACTTCACAGAATATACTGTAAAGTGAATTGACTGCATATTTGTGGGCGAACGTGGCAGCCAATTGCACACAGCAGTGTCCCACAAACAGTCATGGATTGAAAATGACCAATTTATTATTGTTTTGTTTTTTTGGAGGGATTATTATTAGGAGTGTGGAGTAAGGAAACTTACCCAAGGTTTCGTCCTGTCTGGAATTGAACTCAGGTCTCTCACTTGCGAAGCGAGTGCTCTGACCACTGAGCTACAGGACTCCACAAAATAAATTTCTACATTTCATATAGGGCCTTTCAAAACACTTCACAGAATTTACTGTAAAGTAACTATATTTTTCAAATGAACAAGGTAACCAATCTGTACACAGTCATCATGTCCCATATACATGATCAATTTTATCTGGGGGATTGTTGGCCAGGACACTAGAAGAAACTCCCTTCCTTTTTGGGCTATGGGATTTTCTTTAACATTCACCTGAACAAGTAGACAGGACCTTGCTTTAATTTCTCACCTAAAGCAGTGCCATGTCACTGGGCTAGTATTATTATTATTATGCACTATTTTGCTATGCTCAAAACTGTCTGCCGCTTTCACTCATAAAAAAATCACAATCACTACACTAGAGCAAAATAACTTTGAGATGCCTTCCCAAAGTGAAAGGCACTGTATCAAATGCAAGGGTTACTTTACCTGGCGAGAGAGAACCTCAGCTTGAGCCAGCGTGTTGATGGAGGGCGAGTTGCCACTCTCGTAGCTGTTTCTCCTGGTACTTATTCGGTCCCGTTCATTTTGGACGGCTGAAGAGAAGAAAGAGCAAACAAAGCCCCTGTTTCAGAATCTTTGGTCACACATTGCTGAACACCAAAAAACAGCACTGAAGCTTCAACCCCCTGTTGGTTTGACGGCTATCAATGCTTTAACATTGCTAATCACTCACATTATGTGCTCCACTGGGGTGCTGTTTTAATTATCCATTGATTTCAGCTCCTATCACCATCCTGCTTTACTGATCATCATTTTTTTAAAATTCTGGGCCAAGTCATATTTTTATTTAAACATAATTTGCCACTTCTTGCATTACATCTGAAACAGGTTTTCAGTTCTGCGTTTATGATCACTACATACTTTATCTCCCATCTCCTTTTTGCTATAATTCTGCAGTGAATAGTAACAAGGAGCGTGACCTTGCTGTTCACCACAGATACAAAGAAGCTTCAGTGGTAGGTCTCACTGACTATTAAGATCACCCCAGGTTGCCTCAGACATCACTTGCTGCATGTTGCGTGCAGTTCATAGAAGTGGCATCAATGACAACCTGACAACCCGTAAGTTCATCATTTTGTACTGCAGGAAGACGGCACGTCGGGGCCCAAAGCCGGATGTAATACAGCGCCTTGGGACGTCATCCCGACGTGAAAGGCGGTCTATAAATGGAATCTTGTTGTTGTTGTTGGTTCGTGTGGGTCCAAAGTAGAACCCCATTCAAAGCGTGGTTCTGTCAACGGCTGCAACATTGGTGTCCTGTGTACTTTGTCATGGCTTTACAAGCTACAACAATGGATGAGAGTGTACAGGACAAGAATTTTTTTTAAAAATCATTCATACGAGATGACCGTTAGATATGGCAAGCTTTGTTCAGCAGTGATATCTAGCTGCAAAATACAAGTTCAAATAGTAAATACAGTCACTACACTTCATAGAAAATCCTATGAAGTGATTTAAGATGCCTCTCCCCTCCCCCATATGAAAGGCTCTACATCAAATGCAAAAAATATTATTATTAAATATCTATTCTTCAGGTGAATTTTAAGTAGCCCCCTGGCCACTATTACAGGGAAGGATGTTTCTCCCCATTGTAATGACCAGATAATGGACTATTCACCTCCATGCCTATTTGTGGGACACAAAGTAATTGCCCTGTTTGTCCACAAAAACAGTCGCCACACGAAACAGGAATTATTTTTTAAGCACTTTAAGATGTTTCACTGTGATAAGATGCTATAAAAATCCATGTTCTTTCTCTTTCTTCAATTTCAGGAACCAAAGAACCAGAGAAATTTACAATAGAGAAGGTAATTTAGCACATCATGCCTTTACTGGCTCTTTTAAAAGAGCAAATTATTACGCCGTCCCATGTACCTGCCATTTCCCCAAACCACCTATAGATTATTCCTCTTTAGATATCTAACAATGATCCTCTTGAAAGTTAGTATGGTTCCATTCCACCTGACAGGGCATTCCACTTTCTAACAACTCTCTATGTAAAAAATGTTCCTCCTATCTTCCCCTTTGCTCCTTTGCTAACTATACTAAAACAATGCTCTCTAGTCACTGATACACCGCCAAGTGGAAACAATGTCTCCCTGTTGATTCTGTCAAAATCCCTTGTCATTTTTAAGAATCAGGCTTTAACCATCTCTCTCTCTCAATATTATGCAATTTTAACCACGGCAAAATTAGGGCCATGGAATATTTAAGGCACTTTGATTCTGACTAATTGATTGAAAAGGTTCATTTGAATGGGTGAATTGACTTATTATAAATTGTCAAACATGTAACTTGTTTACGTAAATCAATTAGAAGAGAGGAACCATGCCAGACAGAGCAGTTAGGACATTGCACAAAACCAATAAAGATCCTCGACTAAACGACCATAAAACTGAACGTCAAGATTACATCTACCTCCAGAAGAATTCAGATATCATCAATCGTCATTTTACTTATTTTCAAATTGATCTAAAAGCCCAAGTGAATGTTTATTGCCTTTCAGTTCTCATATTTGTAACATTAAATGCACTTTAAGCACTCATTACATGTCTATTAAACTATCTTTCAGAGACGTTTACTGGACAGAGGGCTGGATGAGGTCAGGACAAGGGGGAAGATTAGTGATCATTGCCCAAGTTCTGAGGTTTGCTGTCCTGATGATTAAAACTGATTGCACACCTTGGTGAACTTAATTATTAATGCCACTTATTAAACACAGAAATAAGAGTTACAAATTGAGTTGTACTTTATATACATGTCAGTCTGGCTCAGTTGGAAGCACTCTCGCTTCTCAAGTCAGAAGGTCATGGGTTCAAGCCCCAAATTAGGACTTTGAGCTAACAGTCTAGGCTGATACTCCAGCACAGTGTTGGGGGTGGACTGCATTGGTGGAGGACTTATCCTTCAGATGAGACGTTAAACCACACCTCTGAGTCAGAAGGTTTGGGTTCAAACCCCACGTTAAGACTTTGAACTCACAGTCTAGACCCACAGTCCCGTGTAGTGCTGGGGATGGCATTGCACTGCTCGAGATGTTCAGCTGAGTAACCATCTTCCTGCTCAGGTGGATGTTAAAGATCCCTTGGCACTTTTTAAAGAGAAGGGAGTTTATCCTAGTGCCCTGGCCAACAATCTCCCAATAAACTTAGGACAATCACTTTATGGGCTATTTGTGGGACATTGCCTGTGCACAAATTGGCTGCCATGTTCGCCTAAAAAATATGCAGTCATTTTACATTTTATATCATATCCTGTGAAGCACTTGGATACATTCTCCTGACATGAAAGGCGCTATATCAATTGTAAGGATTATTAATATGTTAGCTGTACCTATCCGAGTTAGGGCAATGTTATATAAAATGGAAGCAGCAACCGTTGTAAAATGTCTCATAAAATCTATATTGTTTTATACCCCAGCTAACATTCTCTCTTCCTCTCCCGAAGGTAACTCGCCCATGCTCAAGGTATCGTTCTATGGGTATTTGTCACCTTGACAGCTTACCCAATTAGATATTCTTAATAATAATAATAATCCATGCATTTGATATAGCGTTTTGCATGTCTTCTGAGGTCTCAAAGCGCTTCACAGAATATACTGTAAAGTGAATTGACTGTATATTTGTGGGTAAAACACGGCAGCCAATTGTACACAGCAGTGTCCCACAAGCAGTCGTAGATTGAGTGACCAAATTATTATTATTTTTTTGAGGGATTACTATCCCCACCAATCGATTAACAACCGGGTTCCTACTGACTGCTAGGTAGACAGAGGTGTGTGGAGTAAGGAAACTTGTCCAACATTTTGCCCTGCTGAGAATCGAACCCAGGTTTCTCACTTGCAAGGCTCTAACCACTGAACTACAGGACTCCACAAGGTTGGCCACAAGATATTGGTTGGGCTCAATGACCTATTTCCATACCATATCACTATGTAATTTTGTACAACGCACTTTTCAATAGAAGTCTCTGGATGTAAAATCCAAAGCAAGAATCCTATCTGCTTACTCCCCATTACTAGCTGTGGGACACTGATTCCACATGTACTGCTTCCTCTGCCACCTTGTCAGAGATCAGCTAACTCAGGATGGGGGGGTGGGTGCTGAACTGTATGGCTCAGCTTGACCTTAGGTAGACAGCTTTACATTATTGAAAGAAAACAGCCAGTTTCAATGCACACTAACATTGACAGCATGTCCTGCAACATTCTAAAGTGATAGATTTTCATGTGAATAATTTTCAGAAATCAGAATTTCCTTGTTTCTTTTGTCTGGGAAAATCCACCTATAGAGTTTCTATAAGTTGCAACATTTGAGAAATTAGTATGGTACATATGTTATTTCTCAACAGGATTCCTTAAATTAATCCAGTCGTGCAAATGAGGACTTCTTCTGGTAACCAGTAGTATGTTACAGAAAGCACACAGAACTTCACTCTAATCTATTCTATTCTGGAGTGAGCTGACAGGATTTTCATAGGAAAGGAATCCCATTGAGAAATACGGCAAATTAAACCCAGAGTATGTTTGAACATGGTATCGATCTAACACAGTCTTACCTTCTTTCTTCATGCCAGCTCGAAAACATTTCTTCAACCTGCAATATCTGCACTGGTTCCGTTTGTCTTTGTCCACAATGCACTGTCGGTTAAACCTGAGATTGTAACAAAACAATGAACTAATTGAATACGAACGAGAATAGGAAGAGCAAACCTCTTATTTGTAAGCATATGAACTTTAGAGCATTTTCCACTTGTGAAGACTAGTGTGAAATAAATACTGTAAACATAAATTGTGTAATAACATAAGTAATGAAACTACTAATCGTGTGTTATTGACTGCCCCGAGGTCAGTTTGCTAAATTAATTCTTACACCCTCAGCTCTCATCCTGGAGACTACTTCAAACCAGTGCAATGTGGTCATCCGTCACCTACAAAATACACATCACTACATTGTACATCATTACATTTTACATTAAATCCTGTGAAGCATTTTGGAACTGCCTCCATACCAAATACAATGATTATTATTAGTAGTATTATTTAAAACAACAATAGAAGCTAAAACATCTCTTCAGTTAAAACCAATTATTCACTCTCCTATTTTCAATCAGAGCCACTTGTCTAATGCTACGGTGAGGAGTTGGTAAGTAAAGGATCCATCATGTGGCTTACCTGCAGGAATAGACATGGTTCTTTCTTATGCTTCGTCTGAAGAAGCCTTTGCATCCATCACAACTGGAGGCACCATAATGTTTTCCTGTTGCTCTGTCCCCGCAGATTGCACACAAAGCACTAATCCCGTTGTCTGGTGTGTTCATGGTGTTTGTCTCCGCTGGAGAACTCTCTGCGAGGGCAAACAACAAACCATCCATCAAGTGATGCTTAGCAGGCAGCATAGACACAAAACTGTGAAAAAAATCTCCACACAACCAACCAGCCATCATCCAATTGTACCATTTTAATTAGCCTGTGCTCCACTACAAAGGAAACTATTTGAAATTATTATATTTGTATTCTGATAAGTTTCTTTTGCACTATCAGAAGGAAAAGGATCTAAGGATTCTTTTCCAACATCACTGAGAATTAATTTGAACTACCCTGTTTCTTCTTTGATCACACAATGGTAAGATACTCTCACCTCTCAATGTGTACAATGGCAATGTTCTGCAATAAACTCACGTCAAAATCCATAAACACGGTTTTAGCTTCAGCAAAGAGGGTGACAAAGCAGAAATCTCCTTTGCAAGTAATAAACTTGCCAATTTCAAGTCAGTATCAAAACCGTAATCTGTGTAGCATATTCAGGTTGATTTAGGAGCATGACAATCAAAAAGTAAATTAAAAGAATATTTGTGGGTTTAATACAAAAGAGAAACAATGTATTATTTTTGTACACATGTCTTCAAGCGTTGACAACTTGAAGCAGTAACTATCCAACAGGAATGACTAGGACTGGCACAACACCGAATTATCCTCTGTTTTATGACAAATAACCATAAATGATTTATTAAATGATACATCTTGTAGAATTGCCAAGAAACAGTGCTTCATTACCATACAAGCACAAAAGTACAGTAAATGGGAGACGATAAGAATATACAGTCAACTGAAAAGTATTAAGGTTGTTTCCTTTGTAAATAGTGTAATGCACTTCTTTAGAAATCACTTAACAACTTTTAATTAGATAGTCACGCTGTAACTTCCCAAGCTGTGCTGGCAAATCCTTGTTTGGACATTTTACTAAAGTAATCATGATTGATATATTTCCCTCTCCCCCCCCCCCAACTGGCTGGGCTGATGGGGGTTGGGGGGGGGGGGGAGAGGGAAAAATTGCGGTCCAGAAAGATAACAGATACAGTCAGAGGTACATCTTAAGGTAGTACTCTGAAACTGCGGAGGGGTGGGTGGGAAGGTGAGCAGAATGACTGAAAGTTCGTCCACCGATGGTGAAGTACTCTCACTTTCTCACACCTGTGCAGATGTGATGACGTGAACTACACAGTTAAACATACATTGTAAACCATTAAAAATAGTAGTCGACAGTTGAAGCTTCACGTTGACTGATTCATCAGCACAGGATCTAAGTTACCATTAGCTTCTTATCTAAATAACGTCACTCCTTTTTTTTTCCGTAGATTTTCATGTGCACCCAGTTGCGTGCAATTTTTAAGCTTTGTAAACAGCCAATCAAAAAAGTCCAAGTCTGGCACATCAAACACCTTTTGTTTCCAACGATATTTAATGGATTGAATGAAGATGGATAAATAAATGACATTTCATATCTTAACTTTTATATTGAACATGTCAAAAATGCACAGCAATAATAATAATGATGATAAAAAAAAGCAAATGAACCAAGTAATGTGCATCTGCTGATGGGACTCGTTTCAGGGTCTTGACAACTGATTGACAGGCTGCAAGTAGGCATCATGTTGAAATTTTTTTTAAAACAAGAAAGAACACACGCAATTCGATGAGGCATTCAGCTATGCAATGACTTGTTCAGAGTGCAAAGAAGCGTTTCACCACTGGCGAACAACTATTTATGCAGTTTCTTGCATTACACTGAACCATTGATCTTGATAAATAAGCAGCGTCTTGCGAGCCAACTGCTGTAACTTACCGTGAGCATTGCACTGTATTTGCATATTCTCAAACTCCAAAGAGGTGTAGGATGGGTCTAAAGCTTCACTGTAATTAGCCAAGTCCATGTCCATCAGTGTTTCAGACAACCGCATGATGTCCAAACCCACAGCTATGTCTTATAGTTCCCACTGTGAAATGGTACCGTTCACCAGGTTGCCTTTCACACATTCATACTCTTGTAATGCCGCTCTCAGTAGACTGACATACTCAGCCTGTATAACTTTATGTGGTGGAATGGGAGGAGTCCCTAGACTCATTCAGTCTAGTTGTATCAGCCTGTGGTTTGTGGACTGGAGTACCCAAATGAGGTTATGATCTTAGTGGAATTTTTAGTGGATGCTTATCTCAGGAGCTAGTTGTTTTATCATTTGACATTGAAAATGAGTAATAGATATTGGTTTTCTAATCATATTAAGGTGCTCTGAGAAAAACACTTTGGCGCATTAAAAAAACATTTACATTGGATGAGAAATTTTAAGTAAAGGGAGGCATTGCCTATGATTAGTTCACGATACCATCCATCAGCTATTGTGTTGGTAGCAGATTTTGAGACTGACTTTTGTTGAGTTTTGAGAATCCATATGGAGTGAAAAATTATTTTATTTAATAGATTCTAACACGTTGTTAACTTTGTGAAGAAACATAGCAATTTTCCACATGTGTTTAAGGAGTTATCACTGGTGTGAATCCCCTCCCTCTCCCCTGACTTTCAGACAATAGTTATGGAGTCCTGAGGCATATTGGACCCACAAGCAAGAGGACGGGGTTCGATTCCCACCCAGCTGGGATGAAACCTTAGGCAAATTTTGTTACTCCACAAGCCTATTTACCTGGCAGTCAGTAGGAACTTGGTTGTGAGTCCATTGGCAGTTCACTTTTCCAGGCATAATAATCCCTCCAAAAAAATGGATAAATAAGAATTTGGCCACTCAGTGGGACACTGCTGTATGTAATTGGTAGCCGCGTTTTGCCCATAAAATATACAGTCAATTCACTTTCCGGTTTATTCTGTGACACGTTTTGAGACGGCTCAATGACGGGATTAGGCTCCTTATGTGGAGTCCTGTAGCTCAGTGGTTAGAGCACTCGCGTCGCAAGTGAGAGACCTGGGTTTGATTCTCGGCAGGGAGAAACGTTGGGCAACTTGCCTTACTCCACATTCCTCTGTTTACCTAGAAGTAGGACCTCTGTTTTTAGTCGATTGGCGGATCACTCTCTTGGGGGTAATAATTCCTCCAAAAATAAATAAATAGGTCACCCAATCCACGACTGTTTGTGGGACGCTGCTGCGCGGATTTGGCTGCTGGGTTTCGCCCACAAAATATACAGTCAATTCACTTTAATGTGAAGCACTTTGAGATGTCTCGAAGATGTAATAAGGTGCCATATCAGAGGGAAGTATTATTATTATTATATCAAATGCAAGGATTATTACTATTATGTCAGAAGCCAGTCCCTGATCTTCAGTGCTACTCTCTTTGTCTCCGATTAGTGGCCGCCATTGTTGTTTCTAACATCATAGAGCAGATTTGGATGCTGCTTCCCAAGGACCCATTGCACCCCTCTACCTGCACTACATCCAAGTAGAATGAAGCCCATTTGATCCAGTGAAATGGTCCATTGACATAAAACTGGATCATGACAGATTGTGGAAATGCTAAACATTGAAGCCTTGTCGGGCGTTGCTGCCAGCAAGAGCCAACATTACAGTTGAAATTAAGAAAAAGTGTGTGGAAAAACAACTTGATACAGTGCAAGTGCTGGCTTCTTATCACTTTTATTGCATGAACGTTTAATGGTTTAATAACCATTGCTGCATCGTTAGGTATCTCTCCTGGCGACACAGTGTGGCATGTAAGCAGGAAACAGGAAACCAAAAATAGAAATAGAGATTAAAAAAAACTTACTATGTTTAAATACTCTAGTGAATAACACACTCTAAAGTGTGCGACAGGTCAGTGATACATTGGAGATTAAAGAATTTTGATAACTGGTTGTACTTCACTCGTGTTTCTGTTACCATCTCAGCCCCCTTAAATTATCACAGCTTTATCGGAGGGGGGTGGGGGGGCGAAGGAGGATCAGCCGCAGGTCTGACACAGGCAGAAACCCATCACCATGCTTAAAGTATCTGAACCGTACTGAGAATTCTGCCTAAGTAAGACAATTTCTCTGTGTCTGGAATGGAATCCAATGCTAATAATAATCCTTGCCTTTGATATAGTGCCTTATCACATCTTCGAGATGTCTCAAAGCACTTCACAGAATATACTGTAAAGTGAATTGACTGTATGTTTTGTGGGCAAAATGCGGCAGCTAATTTCACACAGCATTGTCCCACTGACATCATTTGCGAGGCAAGTGCTATAACCACCGAGCTACAGGAATGTACTCTCCTCAAAAGGACGCACCCTGCTTATCTAATTCAAGAAAGTTTTAGGAGCCAATTGGCAGGAACCAATGTTGGGAAACCAAAGAGTGCGTGCTGGATTTTAACCAGCTAAAAATGCCTCGCTTGTCGTATTGAGCATTGTCTGGCAGCCTTCCCAGTACTGTCCAGCTAGGATCACTCTACCTGTTAGGGCTTGCGTGGTTAAATAGTGACAATTGGGAAGAATCCCTACTCCCAGGGGCTTCCAGTCTGTTCCTTCAAGTCCTACCAAATGAGTCAGGCTGGCTAGTCTGTGATAATAACAATAATATTAATAATCCTTCCATGTGATATAGAGCCCTTCGTGTCAGGAGCACATCTCAAAGCACAATAGAGGATGTACTGTAAAGTATAGCGACTGTGAATTTTGTAGACAAAAGCATCATTAGCAGTGCCGTGGAGTACTGCGAGCCTGCCACAAACATATTTCTAGCCTTTGAGCGTAACCATACTACTACCGTACTAACCATAGTACCCCACATGTATTTACTTACGCCAAAGGAATTCTCAACGGCTGTTTGTGGAACACTGCTGTGCACAGACTGGCTACTATGTTTGCTTTTAAAGTCACTACACTTTGCAGTCTATCCCATGAAGCACTTTTGAGACATTTTCCTGATGTGAAACATGCTATTTGAAATTATTATTATTTCTATTGCATTTTACCGTACGTTAAACACTGTGATGCCATGACATTTCTAAGTTTCTCCTGCTGCCAACAATCCCCAGATAAAATTGGTCCTTCATTTCATAGCGGTTTGTGGGACATTGTCGTGTGCAAATTGGTTTCCACATTCATCTACAAATATACTGCACTTTAGAGTAAAATCTTTTGAAGTGCTTTGAGATACATTGACAATGTAATAAGATGCTATATCAAATGCAAGGATTATTTTTATTATAATACTCATCTTATAAATAGTAAGAAAGAACTTAAATTTTTACAGCATCTAATAACATTCTGAAACATCGCAAAGCACTGTGCAGAAATTACTGTCAAATGCAGTGACAATTGTTTGTCAAAACATAACAACCATTTCACTCACAGTAAAGCCCCACAAACATGCATGAGGTGAATGAATGATTTTATCTGAAGTATTGTTACCAGGAGAAGAGTAGAAAATCTATTCCCTTTTTGACTAACATCATTGGATTTTTACCAATGAACTAAAGAACAGGCAAATGGGACTCCATCTTATCTGAACGACAGCACCTCCAACACGCTGCTCTCTGCCACTGGACTATTAGCTGGGACTATAAAATCGCATTCCAAAGTGGGGTTTTTAATCGACAATCCTCTAACCCAGAGGTGAGAGTCCTACCAATTGAGCCAAGCTGATATCTGTTAATTTTGTCTCTGAGGACAATACCTGTGCATGTGTTTTTTTTAAAATAGCAGTTATAGAACCTATAAGATTCAATACATTTGATTCTAGATTTACTCAGTTTAATAATGTGATGTTAAAACAGACGTTAAAACCTATGCCTGCCTGTTCAGGTAACGCTAAACATTCTTTGGCACCACTCGAAAAGAGAAGGATGTTTCTCCAGGCTAACAGTCCCCGAAATAAAACTGGACATTCACTTCAAGGCTGTTTGTAGAACAAATTAGCTACTTATGTTTGTTTTCAAAGTCACAACACTTTACAGAGTATCCCACGAAGCACTTTGAGACACTCTTCTGTTGTGAACGTTGCTATTTGAAATGATTATTCTTTATGTCACACTTTAGAGCGTCCAAAGAAATTGGCAAATTGTTGAATTAAGTTTTACAACTTTGCAATTCTTTTTCTGTAGTTCTTTAAAAGATCTTACAGGAAACCAGTTTCAAAATTAAGGCTGTAGGAATTTGCCAAAATCCGAATGCTCTGAAACGCTACATAAATAATACATAAAAACCTATACCCAGGTGGAATTTCTCCCCAACTGTATCAGTATGTCCTATCAAGTCAATTCTCATACAGGTCTCCTTTTGCAAACTGATTTTTATGATTTATTCATTATTATTTCCATGTATGGGTGGGATGCATGGAACTCTCAGTTTGGTTTGAATATTCTTAAACTTCGTGACGGGTTTCTGCACGTTTCAGACACCCGGCTGACCAAAGAGAAATCCTTAAATTTCATTTGGAAAACAAAAGGATGACAGCTATTGATTCCAAGTATCTTTAGTACTTAACACTCATTTATTGAAAAGTTCTGAATGCTACTTATGCAGCTGAACTTGAGAACGTAAATACATTTTTAAGTCTGACTGGATAATTCCAAAACCACTTTGCACAACTTGCACTAGAGATTGTGAAAAATGCTTTCTTCAGAAAATATAGATAAGACTAGAGTTGCAATCTACGGTGTCTTATCTGAATTCACCCAGCACTAATACACGAAACCAACAAAACTTGGTATATCTTATCTCTGTAACTATTAAATCTATACACATTTACCATTCAAAGCTCCCCACCCCCCACCACACTCAATTTTAAAACCAACTGCTGAACTAATAAAATGTAATGTCATCCTCAAGGCTACATTCATCAAAAAAATCTACCAAGAAAGAGACCAGTTCATAATGTTAACAAATGATCACATCTATCTGAATCGCATACAGCCTGTACCAAAAGAATTTGTTTTCTTATTACATGTACTGCAAGCCAAGTGGACTAGTGCTAGCCAGGTAGTTTAGTGCTAGTTAAGTGGTTCACTGAAGCCCAAGTGGCTACGACTAGCCAAATGGTTTACCACTAATCAAATGGTCCAGAATTTTAGAATCATAGATATCTACAGCACAGGAGGTCATTTGGCCCATTGAGTTTGCACCA